GCTTAACGAATGAGCCACCCAGGCGCCCCAATTTAGGATTTTTTTAAATGACATCTCATTAAAAATTGTTAGACTAGGCTGCTTGTCACTTTCACTGCCCTAAAAGTTACTTAGAGAAAAACACATGAAGGTCAAGCAAGAAAGGCAGGACCATGAAGACACTGGTCCAGGAGTTAAAAGATGTAGGTTTTAAGCAAAATTAACCTAGGCAGGGTTTCTCAATCTCAGTAATACTGACATTTCAGGCTAGATAATTCTTCGTTGTGGAGGCTGTCCTGTGCATTCTGAGATGTTAACAGCAACCCTGGTCTCTACCCAGAGAGCAGTAGCAAACCCACCTCCAAAACTGTGACAATCAAACTGTCTCCAGACTTTGCCAAACATCTCCCGAAGGGGACAAAATTGGCCCTGGCTGACAGCTCTGATCTCGGCTACTAGAAGTTGGGGTCACATCAGTGGGAGACGGGGCAGTGACTGGAAACAAACACAAGGAGGACTTCTGGGCTGTTCCTTGATCTGGGTGCTGATCACACAGGTGGGTTCAGTTTGTGGAAACTTATCAAGCTGTTCACTTATGATACATACATTTTCTATGTACATTATACTTCAATAAGGTTTTTAAAAGGGGAAAAAAAAAAAAAGACTTAGCGTTTGATTTTGATTGCCCCCTACCATGAACTCATTCACTTATTGACGCGAGGAATAACAAGACTTGCCCTGCTTGATTCATAGGGTTTTGGGGAGTAAGGATTCCATAAAATAAGTATGTAAATACCCCCACCAAAATGCATAGTACTACCCAAATGTAAGATTCTGCTAAAGCTCACAGAAGCTCTGGTCCATTTAGTGCACCTTGAAATTCAATGTCACAGGGGTGCCCGGGTGGCTTAGTCTGCCTTCGGCTCAGGTCATGAGCTCAGGGTCCTGGGATCAAGCCCCATGTCAGGCTCTCTGCTCGGGGGAGTCTGCTTCTCCCTCTCACCCTCCCTCTGTGCTCCCCCTCTCTCTCTCTCTCAAATAAAGAAATAAAATCTTTTTAAAAATTTAGGGGCACCGGGGAGCCTGGGTGGCTCAATTGGTTAAGCATCTGCCTTTGGCTCAGGTTGTGATCCCAGGGCCCTGGGATGGAGTCCCGCATTGGGCTCCCTGCTCCATGGGGAGCCTGCTTCTCCCTCTCCCTCGCTCTCTCTCTCCGTCTCTCGTGAATAAATAAATAAAATCTTGTAAAAAAAAATTTTTTTAAATGAAATTCAATGTCACAAATCACAACCAGAGTCAAAAATGAAAGTCAGAGTGTACCACAAGCAGGAAAGGGAAATGTTCTGTGAAACTCATTTCATTCACAGTGTCTGTTCTGGGTATAGTGTGCAGGGTCCCCATTTAAAATGCAGGTCACGGCGACAGAAACTGGGAAGCTGTCAGTGTACGCAGTGTAGATGGCGGCCCGCGGGGCCCCCGAGCACCGCTCACCTCCTCCTTCATGCCGGTCTCCAGGAGCAGCATGACGCAGGCTTCGATGGGGAGTGCGATCTCACGGCCGCTCCGCTTCAGGTGTTCTTCCAAAGGCGTCCCAAAGGCTGGCTTTTCCGCCCACTTATCTAGAGCAGCAAACCATCCATGAGACACCCAGCGATCTCACGGCATCACTGGGGAGTTTTTTCTCTCCCCAAACTAACAAAGGGGACTTTTTTTTTTAGCAGACTGGCAGTTGAGGCTTTGGGAAAAGGGGAAGCATCTGTTCTGTTTGCTTTGGTTATTTACCATGTACTAGAGCAAGAGTAGGTCCCAGGCTGGGGGGTTACTTGCGGAACAGAGCCCTGAATGCCCTCCAGGGTGAGCTGCCGGGGCTGCCAGGAGCGCGACGGGGCTCCTGCATGGGACAGGTGGGCTGCCTGGCGCTACCCCGAGCATTCGTCTGAGCATACTGATTTCACTGGAAGGAAATTTACTCTCGCCATGCAAAGCGGCACTGGCCTTCTATCTCCGGAACAAGAAATAGACTCCTTCCATGTGAAAAAGGAAATAACTTCTTAAGATTTTAAACACAAGCCAAGCTTCATCACACAAGACCGGAAGATGGCCGATGTGAACTCATATGAAACGCAATGTCTCCGTGACATGCCGAGCTTCCGAATGCTGTCGCCCCAGCCAGCTCCCGAACGTTCTGAGTAGGAAACCACGCCGTATCTGCAGCCCCAAAGCAGCCGAGGCTGAAGCTTGCACCAGTAGTAAAGTGGTCGTTTATGTTATTTTGGGGTCACATACTCTGCTTCATTCCACAAGAGATGTGAGGCAGCTTAGCAGGAGTACACACAATAGAGCAGTGAAACGCAAACAAGAATTTCATGAATTCCATTAGAAAGAGAAGTGTTTGCTTGGGTTTGGGCCGCCGGTGGGTGCGTACAGATCTCGTGCTGCCTGAGACGCCCACAGACGTAGAAGAGGGGAAACCGGTCCATGGAAGCTACTCTGCTGAGCAACACTTAGGCCTTTCCAGTGATGGGAAGGGTTCATGTCCTTCTCGGCACCATTAATGGGGTTAACGTCGTGCAGCCACTTTGCTGTTCGAACCTTGGGTTCAAAGCAGGCAGGAGGACTCTGATGTGCCCCCTTACCCTCGGCTACACGGAAGAGCGGGGACAGGCCCCATTGCATGATCTGCACGCAGGGGAAGGAAGAGAGAACCCCCCAGGTCCATGGAGCTGAGAGCCTGTATGAGGTTAAAATCAGTGGAAAGAGCAAGTGGGGTCCAGGTCGAAGAGGGGTGAGGGCAAGGCAGGCAGGTGCCCTCCTTGTCTCTGGCCCCGGCCCGTGTAATTCCTGGTAGCAAGAGCATCTGGGGGTCTGACCCTTCTCAGAAGACAGAACTCTGTGACAGTCCTCTCAGAGGCCAGTCCTTCCCCTGCATTTGTCCCTTTTATCTAAATGATTCTCAACACAAGCAGAAAATGGCCATGAGACCCCTCCCCTGGGGGGGTACATCAGAACACCCAGGAGAGTTCTGGAAATGGCACCTGCCATCACTACCACCACATGCCTGACCCCATGGCGGCAAGATCCGGGCATTCTCTGAACCCCCACTGGAACTTTCTGGGAAACGCTCGACAGTGTGCCCCACCCCCGACCTTGGAGTAACGTTGGCAGAGGGCGGATGTGAGAACCAGTCATCTAGACGACTCCTGTGCCAAACTGCCCAAAGGATGCTGGCATCTCCAACAACGGACCTGCTAGGTGCCGGGCGCTGCAGCAGCGCCCCAAGGTCACAGAGACTCCCCACCCTTCTAACTGGGAAGAAAAGACAAGACATACACGTGAACATACAACAGTCATTAACAAAAGACAAGACATGTTTGCTAAGTCGTGGCCGGAAAATGGTACAGATCAGGGTTGCAGATGTGGGTGCCCACAGGGGCCAAGGAGGCCCCTGAGGTGCTGAGTCAGGCTGGGGGCAAGGGGTCCGCTGAAAGGTAGCCCCCCGCCCCCCACTCCTCAGTGCCCAACGACCTGTGTCGCCGGACTTTCGTGACTTTCAAGAGAAGCCAGAAATCGGATTGTTATGTGAAGGTGTCTGGTGTTTAAATGATGGCAAAATTTTTTGAAAAATGAGATACAGCTGTTTGCGACTTCTGGCGCAGAACACAGACACTAGGGCGACTCGGGGGACAGTGTTTGCTGTTGGCTTCAAGGAGGGGAGCTGGGGGGTCTGAATGAAACAGACCAGGAAGAAGGGCTGAGAAAAGACCAGGGATCTTGAGTCTCAGAATTTACACTTGATTCCATAGCTCTTGCCCAAGGTGACGAGGGCCCAGAGGAGGGGGGACGGTGTGGGCGGAGCAGAAGGCCCAGCAGAGGGCAGAAAGGACAGACGCCAGCTACAGGGTATGGGCAAGGAAGGACAAGACGGCTCCAAGGTCAAGCCTGGGTGGTTTGGAGGGAGGTGGCGTCCAGGAGACATGGAGGAGAAAAGGGCAGCTGGTTTTGGGGTAAGAATCGGCTTGCTTTCTGGGATGCATGGAGTTTCAGGGGACAGCTGAAGGAGTCTCTGAGGGAACCAGCAGTGAGGTGGTTATGAGGGTGAAGACACGGGTGACATGGGGGCTGGCACCAGGAGGGGGCTCTGGGGACCAAGGGGTCAGGAGGGGACGTGAACAGCCCTAATAATGAAAGAATCAGGTGCAATGAGGGGCACACATTCCATCAAGGAAGAGACAGCCCAAGGCACATCAGATGCCAGGATCTGACAATTAAGAACCTCTGGTCCACTGGGAACTGCAGTATTTTTTTACTCTTAATAGAAGCGTGACTGGGAGCAGAAGTGAGACTGCACAGTGTGAAGGGCTGGCCGGTGGAAACGAGTCATTCAGAGAGCCTACCAGAAGAACAGAGGAGGATGAGACTTAACAGGGCACCACGTTGCAGAGAGGCAGGTCCCGAGTCCGGTCAGCTGACTGTGCGTGTGAGACTGGGGTGCACAGGGGTGTGGCAGCTGTGGGGTCAAGGTTCTTTTTTTCCTACTATAAGGATGCTCTTGAGTCTTTCTGAAAACAGAAGAAAAAGGAAGAGGAGGACAGGAACTAAGACAACAGGGAGATGGGAGGACAGGCAGAGGTGGAAGGGATTGAATTCCAAGGCCTGGCAACCTTGGAAAGAAAGATGGATCACATTTCCTTCGCTGGGTTTCTGCTCCTGCACACCTGCTCCTTGTTCCATCCTCAGCCTCCTCCCTGCCCTCTTCCTGTTCCCTGTCACTTGCTGACATACTTCTCTAGGGAAAATAGCCTTGGGAAAAAAATAGTTAAAAAAAAATAACTTGAGGGGTGCCTGGGTGGCTCAGTCGGTTAAGTGTCTGCCTTCGGCTCAGGTCATGATCCCAGGGTCCTGGGATCGAG